AAAATATACAATTTAATATAATTAAATAATTATTTTTAAAATAAGCGTCAAAACGGGTACCATATTATGACGTCAGTGCTTTGTATACTTATTTTTGACAGCGTTATAGCGGTCGTGTAGCTCGATGAGAATATTTATTTACACGTTTTTTTATTATAATTAACAACATTTAGACCTTGAAAGTTCACAATTTAATCTCTTCATAAAGTCAGTCACTTTCTCAGACTAGATTTTTATTCGAATTCACGTGACACGCAACTCCAATTTAGTGATTTTGTTTTGATTAAATTTGCATACGCAAGACTTAATTTAGAAAAATAAATTGAAAATCGAGAATTATAAATAATTAATAAGATATTTATTATTTATCACCAGAGGTCGGAATTAGGTAGACTTATTTATGTACTTGCATCGAAATGTTGATATTAATGTGGACCTTCCCGGGATTTCTTTATTTCTTCTTTCTTTATTTCTTTCTTTCATTGATGTAAGTTTGGCAACGTTGTGCGTGCAGTAGTTTAAATTGTGTAAAAGTAAATAACTTTTTATTTAAAAAATCACGGGATTTTTTCTGCTCTTTAAAATTAATCTCGGGATATGAAGCATATCCACTTTATTCTTTCGCTGTATGAAATCAGTGTAAGTACATGAATAACTCTACCTAATTCCGACCACTGTTTATCACTCTCGATTTCCTTTTTAATATTGCTCACAGTCAATAACCCTATTGTAAATATGCACTATATATAAAGGTCTGTTGTCAGTTTCTTATGTATAGTATACTAGCCGATTAAATCGAGTTTGCCGTCGGCGACCATTACTAAATGACGTCATAGGCCCATCAACTGGTAGCGTTGATAAAAAAACAATAATTTTATTTTAAACAATAATTATAGATAAGTTGAGAGTTGATAGTATGAAGATTATTTACGCAAATAATATCAAAAAGATATTTAACAAAGCCTCATATAAACAAAAATTCATAACAAAAAGTAAGTGATAACAGCTGCCGGTCCGCATAAATGTAAGGATTCCGATCTTGATTCCATTTTAACGAAATTCTATCATTTTGATCTCGATCTTCCATTTTTTACCACCCAGATAGATTTCAAGATCATCGCAAAACGAACAGACCGAAAATCGATCTTTACTAATAAAATTAAAGATACATTCTTTATAGACAATAAAGAATGTATCTTTAATTTTCTTCATTAACTTAGAAAATAACGGCACAAATAACATAAATTATTATCAGCTAAGAGTTTTCACATGTAATTATTCCATATTACCCAAACAATTTAGATAGATAGGTTTATGTACGATATTAGGAGAATAGATTTTTGATCGATCGATCTTTATGTCATCAGATCTGTTCTTTGCTATAGACCGGAAACGTGCTAGGAGTACTCGGGGTCTACCAGACTTGCGGTGCGGTAAAGCGGAATGGGTGTGAGCAAACGACTAGTAAATCCACCAACAATTAAGCCAAATTTATATTGCGAAATTAGCGTCACGCCGGCTGAAAAAAGTTTCACGAAACTAATTTCAGCACATGTGAAACTAGTTTTGTAATGACTTATAAATAAATAATCTGAAGCTATGCTGTTTTTAGTAACTAGTTGTGGATTATAAATGCAGATAAACAGAAAACGAGATGACAGAAACGCGTCCGTCAATGTATGTGTTAGATATGACAATAGATGGCTTATTACGCGTTAAAGAAATTATAATTAATTATAATCTCTCGGAAAACATTAGGTACTACGAGTATTATTGTTAAAGCGCTTCGTGAAGCCTCCGCTTCAAAGTAGCTATCTCTATTAAAAAGACAATATTAAAGACAAGGATTGAAAAACAAGGGAAAAAATTGTAAGGTTTTATCTATTCATTCACGTTTTAAAATAGAATGTAGTTGTAAATGAGAAATTTATAAAATATCCACCAGTGACAAGTAAGTAGTACTCGAAAAATTTGTCAGTCCCTGTTTGGGTCTCGGGTAGCTCAATTGTTAGAGCAGTCACCCGGATTTGGAAATATTGTAGGTTCGAGTCCCGGGGTACCTGTGGGTGGTGGGTTTTTTTGAGTATTATATCAGACATTTATCAGTATCAGTAAAAACAAAATTGTGAAGAAATATTCGGAACGCACCCTTTCTCAGGCAACCCTTAAATGCAAAGGCGAAATGAAACCAGAAGCCGATAATAAGGGTTAGCTTCACGAAATAGCTTGGTTAGCGTATTACACAAAATAGACCATCGAAAATATTTTTAATTATTTCTTGTAAACCATTACTATTATTATGAAATCCCTCCATGGTATCTTTTATCTACAAAAGTTAGTCGCATATGTATTAACTTTTCTCTATAAGAGAAAAGTGTAAAATTACGAAATGAAGTTGTCTAAATGGAAATTTTTAACGCAATATGATCATTACAACAGAACCATACAAAATTCTTACTATCTTCCAAAATAATGTTCGATATTTTTGGAAAATAACGAGTTTCTTCTAAGTGGCCCGAAACATTATTTTTCTATTATCTAATGCTTATTCATTACAGAACCTATGTGCATAGTTTAATAATATTCTTAGAGTTAATAAGCAGAAAACGAATTATTGTGTGACTATATGGTTTCTATACAGGGGAAGTACATGCATACAGTTTTCCTGCATTGATGACAACCGTACTTATTCGATCACCTCAATCATCATCAGCGTCAATTATTGCCTGTTACCCGCGTATGATGTAATAATAATATTTATTTATTTGCGAAAATATGGTTACAAGGTAGTTTTACAATTTAAGACCAGCATATTTTATCGTCAAGACGATGTGCAAATATTAAACTCAATATACAATAAATTGTCTGATTTTATATGAAAGAAAATGTCAAAAAATATCAAAAAAAATAAACATTCATACAATAATTAATAATGAGATTTATCTTGCAAGAATTCATTTATTGAATAATAATTTTTATCCATTAAATATTTAAAAAACAGGATTTGAATGTAATAACATTATCAATAGTTTTAATATTATTCGGTAATTTATTATAAACACGTACAATATGAGTTCTTCGAATTCACAACGAGTCTTTGAGTTGGAATACATAAATTTGTACCCTTCCTACCTCTATGTGCAAAATCTTTATTTTGTTTAAATAAATGGAAATGTTTTTTAACAAATATCCCCATTTGAAAAATATATAAACATGGAAGTGGTAATACATTTAATGATTTAAACAACGGCTTACATGAGTCCAAGTAGCCTGCACCACAGACTGACCGTATGTATTTTAAAAGATGTAGCCTTTCGGTAAGTAAAAAAAAATTAAAATCGATCCAGCAGTTTCGGAGCCTATTCGATGCAATCAAAGAAAACTTTTTTTAATATTAATAAAAAAATATAATTAAGGTTTTATAGTTGTAAACTAGCTGACACGACGAATTTTGTACCGCTACAGAATTAAATAAAATGTGAAATTAAATAAAAATAATTTCCGAATTGTCCGACAGTTTTATGAGAAAATTTATTCTTTTAATACTTATTGCTGTTTCTTCATAATCCCTGCATTTCTACGAATAATTCAAAACTAAAATTGACCAAATTGGGTCCACCCATTCTCGATTTTTAATGAGATTAACAATCATAAATATTATTGGTATAATGATGTAGGTATGTACAAGTAAAACTGTTGTGTGCTTAGTTAATAGTTAAGGCTTAAAATCCATTATAAAGGGAGAAGAAATTAACATTCATTAATAATTGTTTGCCCTTTTTCGTATATTGCTCTACAACAGTTACAATAGTCATTAAATACATTATTAATGATATTTTAATACAATAATGGGACTCATTTCCTTTGCTAAACATTATTTATTGTATGGTAAAAGCCGGATACATGACCCACATTTTGAAAAACCTTAATTATGTACATCAATATCTACTAATAAATGATGTTCCATGTCTTTAATATTTTTAATTATGCCCTGTTTGCGGCAAAATAGTTATTATCTTAGGTTATAAATTGAATTTTATTTGACTTTTCGAAATAAGCAAAGAAAAAAGGTTTTATACACCTCTAACAGAGAAGAAAGACTTAATTATAAAATTAGTTTAACTTTTTGTACGCCCATAAACATCTTTATGTAAAGCTTTAAATATTTATTAACTTATCGCAAAATATTAAGATTTAAATAATATACCATAAATATACTAAATCATATACTATAAATATACTAAATATTACTTATATATAATACAAGATGATAAACTTTCAATACTTACAATCGCATTTGACTATCAGTATGAATAATGTCCATGCAAATATCTTGCAAATAAAACCTATCCTTTTTAACAAATGTGCGCTACATTTGTTAAAAAGGATAGGTTTTATTTCGCTAATAGCTATATATAATAATTTCGCGCATCTATAACATATATGTCCTAATCCTTACACAAAGAAAATAACCGTTAACCATTTTGAATGCAAAGTTTATCAAATATTATAAATTAATATATTTGATTATATCAAATTATGCTACTATAAAATTTTTCAAAGCACATCCCTAACAGGTCGTATTTTTTTACTCACCGTTATCCTGTGACTTCTTCCAGGTAAATTATAGCCTATGTTATACGCATAAGTCGTAATCGGTTCATTAATTCTGAATAGTACCACCTATAAACAGACAAAGTTTGAGACTTTACCCCTTTATTATAATAATATTGGTATAGATTTAGATAGTAATAGATAACCCATCTAGGCAACGATTCGTCTTTATCCCAACTGTAGTCGACAGGCTGCATCCGTGGTTAGTGCGTCCTTGACATACAGTGTGTAGATTTATTAATATTTAGTGTTGTACAACTGTCTCTTAAGTTCGCCAAGAAAACGAACTATATTATATAAAATAATTTAAACGAGTCGCAGTGGTTAGTGCGCAGTGAAGTGGAGCGGACCGCGGTGTGTTTTTTTTTTAATAGGACATCGTAGTGATGAGGGAACTCAATGGTGCGTATTTATTTAAGATTTATATTTAAAAATAAAACATGTTTCAGTAACTAAAAAGTAATCATATAAAAAAAATATTTCATTATCATGCATGCAAATAAAAAGTTTGTGTAAAGTCTATGAAACGTTTCTTACTAATCAAAATTCGAATTTGTATAGATAATGCGTCTTAAAAATGAATTTTTTTGTTTGTTTGCATCGAATAGGCCCCGACACTACTGATTTTAAAAATTACCTACACTTTAAACTAGAATTTACGCTAGCGTAGAGGCGGGAAATTGCTAATTTATAAATATTATGATGAGACATTGCGATCGAAAATTAATAAAAAAAAGTTTTATTTATTACGTCTTTTCTAAATATTTTCCCGTTCATGTTTATTTAATAAGTGCAAATAAATATAAAATTGAAAAAACACGAACAAATCATTAGATTAACAGTCATATCTATAATTGATAAAAACGAATGGCGTAATTTAAGCAAACATTTTTAAACAATAAACAAGAATTTTAATGAAAAAATAACTATTAATAGGTAATAATAATAATAAACGTCGGGAAATATAGGTAGGTGAAAACCTAACTATCGAAATCTATCGCATTAATACCCGTCTTATGCAATCTAATTATAATACTATTGTACTACTAACAATTCTTACTTAATTTAAATTCTTGTTTATTTGTTAAAAATGTTGGTTTAAAAAATTACTTTTACTCGATAATAGATACAGGTGTTAGTTTCGTGATCGGATCTATGTTTTCGTTGATTACTGCCAACAAACAAACAAAGTTACATATACCTATATGTATAGATTAGTATAGAAGTACTAAACATAATTGTTTCTGACAATGACTTTCCTTAGCAGTTTAAATGAGATGATAATTGAAAACTACGAGAGTGTGTAAACAAGAGTTTCATTTTCGAACGCAACGATGCGCTTATCTATACAAATAGATAAAATTGGAGTGTCTGTTTGTAACATTAAATCAATCGCTTTTTACTAAATGTACATGTTTACAAGGTACATATATCAAAATATCATTTTTGTTTGTCTGTCTATTTCGCCTAATCTCTGAAACGGCTGGACCGATTTTGAAGAAATTTTCACAGACAGATAGCTTATGTAATAAAGAGTAACTTGGGCTACTTTCTACGCAGACGAAGTAATAGTGAATAGGATGAATAACTTAAACTGTTTTATTTAAACAGTTGATTATGCTATTTCAAGCAAACTAATATATTCGCCAAGATAAACTTTGAGCTGAGTTAGAGATCCTTTTTTTAATTAATAAATAATGATGAAAAACTACTTTCATAAACAATAATAATGAATTTAATATTTAAAAAAAAACTTTGTATTGGAGATAAGTTTTATATACTATATATACTATACTAGCTGTTTTCCCGCGACTTCAGCACGCGTAAATTATAGTCTACATTAATCCCTTATGATATAGCTACCCCTGGACCGATTATAAAAGAATTTGTAAAAACGGTCCTGTAATTTAGGAGCCTATTGGGTGCAAACAAATAAACAAACATACAAACAAATAAACGGAGCTAATAGAAGAAAATTAGAAACGTATGTTTTTCGCTTCAATTTTACCAAAATGGTAGGGGCTTGTGTGTCACAACTATCTAGAAAATATACAAAGGCGTGACGTCATTCACATTTCGACTCAATGTATAACTTATTGATCACGCAAAAAGATACGTGTTTAATACTATTCAATTAATTACCAGACAGACAAATAAAAATTTTCCGTCGTCCCTATTAATGTTTTGGTCACCCATCCCGTTATCGGGATTATCGTTTGTTGTTTAACAATTGCATGAACGTTTTACTCGTTGCCCGATCAAGCTTTTTTGAGATTTCTGTGTACATAAAGTAAGAGACTTCATCATATTAATATTTATCTTAATAAATCATTTTAACGAAATTCGGAGTGTTATTTATATCCAGAAATTCTTAAATATCCTGTCTAACCGGATTTCCTACACGTGAATCGAGGGATAAACAGAGGATGTTTTGAGCCAATAATTACATAAAACTATTTGTTATTTCAGATACTATTATTTTTCTTGGGTAACTCATATAAATCCGAAGTGATTGCTCAGAAAGTGGCAATAGAAAGAAATTTTAAATCCATAGACGTTATTTTTAAATCTTTTCGCTTGATTAGTACTAAACTTATATTAATCTGTGATAATACCTGATGGAGACATCTTCGTTAAATTTTTGAGTTCTTTTTCATATTATTATTATAACAATACCTAGTTACTATTTTATTTATTCGTTTTCATTTAAGTAAAATATAGAAATTAATTTCGCGCCTAATTAAATATTTATTTTTCTGTAAATCGTTTGCCAAAACAAAACAACGACATTAAGATTATTTTTGACGTAATTAGTGAAAAAAATAACAAAGTTACTTTTTTTACGTCACGTCACCATTCAAGGATGAAATTACAACCCCCTTTTAAAATCGATTAAATATAAAGATGGATGTAAACACGTAGGGTACAAGTAATGATTCGAAAAGGAGTTCTGACCATTAGTGTAAATTTATTCGAGTCAATATAGTCCTGCATAATTCTGGGTCAATGCCTGACTTGCCTAGATTTGGGAGTCAGTGTTGACTTGCATCGACTTTGGAGTCAGCTACTTAGATCGTGTAAATAAACTTTTGACTGGCAATTTTTTATTGATTCAACTCATAGACGGTCGAATTTCTCATCAATTTTCTATAAAAAAAAGCTCTCTAATTTATTTTTTATATTATCTATAAAAATCCAATTATCCAATTTCCAATTATTTCCAATTATCATCTCATTTACTTTTATAGCTTTAAGAAATATTTTTATGACAATATAAGCTCGCATATTTTTTTGTGTTGGAATAAAAAATAATTCATGGAATTATAGAGATCTATCCTGTCTCGATCACATTGAGAGGGATGAATTCATCAAACCTAATACAGAAAAAATTGTTTTCATTGCTAAATATTATAAAAATATATAATATACAGAGTATAAAATCACTTGAAAGCACCTGAGACGATAGAATTTTTCACGTATTTCTCTATAAAATAGACGATGTTTTTTACTGTAAAATATAATAAAAAAACACTTAAACAGTCAAGTAGCTGATACGCAATACTTACGAGTGGTACATAAGGATGCTAATATATCTGAAGTATTTAGTGGGTAAAATTGTCGTCATCTTACTTATTTCAGAAAGTCTGTGAAAGCCGTATTTTTTGACGTAACCGTCGCCATCTAAAAAAAATTAAAGTCCCAAATTTAGGAAGGAAAGATGAATAATGGACTTTTTGGGGACCAAAAAAATTTGGGCTATTAACACTGTTATGTACTGGTATAGTATTATATTATCTGTGTTGATAAAACAACTTTACTAATAAAGTTACAATAGCGTTTGAAATAACAAGTTTTTACTATGACACTTAACTATTTTTTTGCCCCAACGTAGCAATAGCCTATTACAAAAAGACAAAGAATATCTATTTATTTATATCTATTGGTGGCCTAATGATAAAAATGTTTATTATGAAAACACAATTGACTCCTACGGCCTTACTTAATTGGCTGTAGCATTTTATTCCCAAATCTACTTTTTCGTTATTGTTAAATAAATATATCCAAATAGTTTTGCAAACAACATTTTCAAGCTGTCAGACATGAATTTAATTATCCACAGAAAATATTTACAATCTCGTTAACAACGTTTTCCAGACTCATTTAAAATTAATAGAACTTGTTATAATAATTCACATAGATAATGACTTTTACTTCGAGAATACGAATCGTTGTAATTATAAAATAATTTGATTCAAGTACTTACTTGATGTTATAATATTTCACTTTGTAAATTGAATTAGCATCTGTGAGTAATTGACTCAAATCTTACAATATACAATATCGGTATCATATAACCCATAGTGGTTCATATAGCCCAAGCATAAAATATAATAACAAAAAGATTATTAAAGTTATACATCACTTACTAAGCACAATGTTAAGACAGTAACACACAAATCACGAAGCATAATAGCGAATAATTCTCTACTATTCCTTAAACCGACACGTGTTAAAGCTTTGTTAGAACTAGTTTTTGCCCTCGACTTCGTTCCTGTGGTATAGTTATTTTGAGGAACGTTAAAAACAATGAATAAATATTTATAATTATTATAAAAAATTTATTATAAAATAAATCCCTGAATGTATCGGTATCTCATTGAGATTTTTTGTAAATAAACGAAAAAATGATATTTTAATACTTCGCTGTCCGTCCGTTTGTCTGTCAGCAGGCTGTATCTCACGAACCGTGATAGTTAGACAGTTGAAATTTTCACAGATGATGTATTTCTGTTGCCGCCAAAAAATACTAATACAGAATAAAATAAATATTAAAGGGGACTCCCATACAAAAAAAACTCATTCCCTCGGTCTGAAACCTTTGTACGTGAATCCGACTTCACCGGTTTTTTATAAACTTCTGATTGAGCCTGAGCAAAACACTGGTATTTTCATTTATAAATATTACATTTTGAATTATAGTTTATATGAACTATATTTGTATGGTCGAAATCTTTCTCAAATAAGAAATTGTTTACACGCTCACAAATGTGCATGTTTCAGCTGAAACTAATATTTCATACCCGCCGAGGCACATGTGTCGAGCAACCTGCGGGACATGTCACGTGATGTCTGTTACCACCTTTAAATTGGTTCTCCAAAAAGAACATGGGAACTATTCAAATTCAAATTGCGTGATATTGTCATAATAACAATACGGTTGTCCTCTTTATTGTTTTCTAGTCATGGGCGGTTCGACTGACAAACCTTACACGACTGTTTATGCAAATATCAATGTCAAGTGATTTTGTTTTATATGATAATATGCTGTAGATACATTGAGATATGATTCTTTATGTTTTCTATTACTGTTATACCATGGGAAAATATTATTTGTGCAATCTCTAATCATTCTATTTGCGATACCCTTTTGCGTTCGACCATCAATGCCGCTATGCGATCTAATGCCTTATCTGTAATAACAACGTTACAGTTGTATATTTTCCTATTTACCTCCACCTGCACAGCGGTCTAAAAGGAAACTCGATCTGCGGCTTTGATCATGAATACAATATATTTAAAATCTTGATATCGATGTGAACAGTACGTAATAATCTCGTTGTCCCGCATTACCTACAAAATTTCCTGTTAGTTGCTTACTGCGGTTAACGATTCATGAAACTTTTCTTGAGTCGGGTAAAAATGAGATCGCCATTTCGCCAATGAACTGATAAATATCCGTAGAATATTAACCGCCCTATTTCGGAAGTCGTTTCTTGAGAAATATATTAATTTTTTTGCTGCATTCGGAAAACTTGCAGCTCTAATAATTACATGGACTAATTACCTTTTTTTTTTGTACCGTGGAGAACTGACCTTAAAATTTCATCGACCTTGATTAGAGGCCGACTAAACCCGGGCTCTACTGCTGCGGAGGTTTAAAGAACCCCTATCTACCGTGCAAAACCCCCCGTCTTACCCTCACGCATGGTCTGGAACCTGGTGCCTGGCAAGAATACCCAGTTATATACCAGACCAGGGGGACCGACTGAACGGTCCTCCCTCTCTGCGGCCAAGAGGTTTCCCGGGTAATTTCGAGGAACCCTCCCCGGACAACTGAGGCGTGCAACGAACAAGGGGGTGATCGTCCCCCTCGTTCACCCCGTTAAGGAGAAAAGATGCGCGACTGTGCTATCTTAGCTCCCTTTATCGTCCGACGAACACTTTGATATGTCGCCTCGGCCGCCCCCTCGAGCTATACTCCTCGGGCAACCCCGGCGTCAACATTCCCTGGCACCCATGGCGACATACCAAAGCATTCCCGCTGCCATTGTGTCGACCGCTGGTCCACTTAACAAATGAAAGAAAATTTACTTAAAGTCCGCCATTGTACTTTATATGTGCATAAAGTATTAAATAAATAAATAATATTTTATTTTAATAAAATTCGAGTTTAATTAAATATTGATTTAACGTTGAAATGCCAATATTGGGGTAATAATACCTAACACACTTATTTTTCTGTTTCAGGCATTGGCAATGGTGAGAATCAGATTGGTAGACGCCGTGCCGTGCCCGTGTTATATCTTCAAGGGTCTCATTATGATGTTGGCTTCGATGTGGTAAGTCTCAAATCCAATTATATATCGATTTCTATTCCTCGGCGTTCTAACTAGCAGTTTTATTCGCAAAATATCAAATAATAGCGATTATCTGAACAAAAAGTTATTTAGTATAAAACTAAAGACAAACGCGTTTTAGTTTTACACGGAACCTGTAAAATTGTTTCATTTATGGATAATGCGCTTGAAACTATAAGAAATCAATATTTATATCGATTATTTGAGTTTGGGTTTAATACATTTTTTAGTGAGAGTACTTGAGGAGTTATGGTACTTTTGGTTATTATATTATATTAATTCTGAATATTAATAACCTGCACAAAGCTCATCTTGGGTTAATTTCCGGATATTGAATATAGTTACTTTTAGTTTTAAAATGAAAAGACTAGGTTTGAGAAGTATCTTTATCGGTAAAGATAAAAAACAGTAGCAACAACAATTAAAATAATAAAAAAACAGTTATTTATTGATTCTGAAAATTGCAATGAATTAATCCAATTATGTAATAGAATTAAAAATGTAATAAAATTATTTAAATAAAACGATTAATTACGTACTGCGTTTCTGGGTTTTCCTTTAAAGGTATATCTTAGTTTCATAAATATAGATTTATAAAACTTTACACTTTGTCTATTTTGTTTACATAATATTTTGAAATATTTTATTAATTTACAATAATAATCGTTTTGCTGTTGAAAGAATTTTCTCGAACTGACATTCAAAATGGTCATTACATGTTTCTAATAATTTTCAAATGACGAAAAGCGAACAATAAAAGGAAATGAGTTTAAATAGACAAAAAGTTTGTATGCGAGATATTGATAAGCATAATTTCTTTTTCAATGCAGTTGCTCATAAAGCGATATTTTTAAATCCATTGTAAACACCAAAAGTGAGTCTTTAAACACGTGTTAAATAAAAATGTACTGAAATCCTTTACTGCACACGTGCTTAAAAGTATTTTTTTTTATATTTTTTGGCCGAGCACCAAAGAAATTAAAAAAAAAAATGATGAAAATATGTCAAATTTTAGAGGCAAAAGTATTTCAAGGAGCCTAGAACGAATATTTTCAAATAAAAATTTATGACACGAAAACATGTTCAAATATCACGTTTCATTTTAACAAATAATTTTTACCTTTACTACATACTTAGTTTTATTAACCTATATATTTGTTTTATTTCCTCGCAAAAAAGCATTGAAAAATGTTGTAAGAAACTTGAGCGTAAAAGGTTTTTCGAATTCGTGCCAATGAAAACCTTCGGTACGCTCGTGTTTTCAATTTGGCCCTTATTCGTAAAACCTTACTTTCCGCACTCGTATCTTAAATAACTATTATGAACTTAGGTGTATAACTAAATTCGTCTCTCTGAAATACTTCTGCGTTATATATTTGTTTATTCGCGGATGACAAACAACATGTAACAAAAAAATTATAAACCGTTTCCGTTTTAGAAAAGATATATCATTTGTATTGTTGCCTTTTAAGTAAATATGTACGAGTACAGTTATAAGCACATCGTTATACGAATTTATCAACTTTCTTCTCTTAATGAGTGTAGCGGTGAATACCAAAACTTGACCCATAGTATGCTGGGGCGAGATTGCCTCACTCTCTATCCATAACTCTAAGCATAGAAGCTACTCAATTGTAATATTGAGTTTAAAAACCCATGTATATATACATCAGTGATGTGCCGGATCGTTAAAAATGTATATCCGCGGATACGGATCCGAATACAGATATTTGGTGTCAAGATCCGCGGATACGGATACGGATCTTTATATATATATATGTTTCAAGTTCCTCTAATTTTCACTGTGTTTGCTCATGTAATTTAATGTTTACACTTTATATGGTAGGTAGTACCTACTAGGTACGCAGTATTAATTTACTTCATTAGAAATATATTTTTGGTTTTCTCATCATCTCATAGTTATAAAAGTGATCTTATAACTAATATTTTTTTTATTATATTGATCTCGTTATAATTATAAAAAAGATTAAAATTTTGGTTTTCTCATTTTCTTATATTTATAAAAGTGATGTTATAACTTTCTATAATATTGATCTCATTATAAAGATAGTTGACCTTTGAGTTATGTACTATTGGTATAGTAACTTACTACGATAAATGTTTGCAATATAAAGGTGCCAAATATTTGATTTTAAGAAATAAAAAATACTTGAATTGAATTTAATAGTTTTTTAAATCTACCTAATCACCTATATATAGCATTTCATCCTATCAATTGAAAATTAATAAGTTAAAAGATCCGTAAATGATCCGCGAGTAAAGTAACGGATACGGATATGGATCTTTATTTTCCGTCGGATATCCGTGGATACGGATACGGATACGGATATATATATATATATGTTATTAATATATATATATATATATATATATATATTAATAAAATAAATAATTAAAAAATAAACAAACTCTAATAATGATATTACGGCGATATACCATTACTACTTTGACATGTCTTTTAATTCATTGGTTTGAGGTTAACATAGATTTTGATAAAAGTTTTAACACTGCTACCAAATCCATAATCATCATTATTTATCATTCATTTGCCATTATTAAGGCACAAGGAGAACATTTATCATTCATTCGTCATTATTAAAGTACAAGGAGTTTGTTTAGTAATTTATTATGATTATATACATATACAGTAAAGTTATTGTCAATTGCTGATTTCAATACTATTTATTATTTATTTTGCATGAAATAATTAAAACAAACTTTTAAAGAATTATGTAATTTCGTTTAAAACAATATTACAATAGCAACGAATATTTAGTAAGATATCATGCTCAACTTAATAATGTTTTTTGATTGTAGAACTGTTCATAATTATAAGATAACATCTTCTATTATAATAATAACATTGAAATAAAACACATCAAAATTGAAGTCGTCAAAATGAATTGGAGATTTAACAAGACAGCTTTGATGTAGGCTACATAACGGCTAATTAAATTTTACGGTATCATCATATAGATTTAGAATCTCTCAAATTCATTGTTATTATTCCTCAAGTCTTTTATGTTCAATCATTGCTTTTAATTATGCACTTACCCGTTTTGTTACTTCAGCGATAAAATATACAATATAATTATCACAGGCAATTGTCTAAGTTATGTCAAAGCAAATTTATTGAACCTCAGATGAAATATCTACAACTGAACAATCAATATTTGACATAAGTCTCTATGATGTAAACTGTAGTTAATGATATAGTCACATTACAGACAATACCTTGACATTCGACCATTCGACTCAAAAATCATCGCCGTCTTTCATTAATTTCATTTTCATTTTACATGTAGAAATTAATTTATTCACTTGACATAGGCAAAATTATGCGAAATTCGCATATAAGCCATTAATAAAAGAAGAAGAAGAATTACATTACATTTCCTAGGTACCTGCCTAAGATGATTTTATTAAGAATTTTTTCTTAACTCTCCTGTGCAGCAATTAAATTCCTTGATATTTAATACCAGCTATTTGCATGCTACTTTACAGAGATTAAATTATAATTATAAGCTATTTTATTATACACTGGTGACATACTCGTAAACGAACGGTTTAATAGTTTTGGAGTGTATTTAATGCAAAATAACAATCAAATCTCTCCTCTTTATGATATTAGTATAAATAACTTTATCATTACATTGAATATATTATATCAATATATTATATTAAATTATGTTTATATTTAAATTATTGAACGGTTGTATTAACTCCCCTGATATTTTGGAAAAAATTAAAGATCACAGTTCCGAGGATTGGGAGTCAAATACATAATAGAAAAACATTTACATTGCCACTCCGTAGAACTCGTCTCGGTCAGCATTCACCGCTTTATCGCATGTGTTCTAGTTATGAATCAATACGATTTAATTTCGATATATTCAACGGGTCTATTGCTTCTGCTAGGCAGAGCTTAAGATCTGTTTTTGGTTCTTGAGAAAAGCATGATAACTTTATTAATATTTTGTAATTTAAATTATTTTATGTTCCGGCACTTCTGTGAAAAAATGTTTAATTTTAAAATGCATGTTGTACTTACATCGAGAAGGTTACAATCCAGTTTATTTTTTGTGAAAATTGTATTGTTTATATTTTTGATTGTAATCTGTTTTGTAAGTCGAAATAAAAAATAATAAAAAAATTAAGAATACCGTTTAATATTTTCCTGGAATTCTCAGGCGTTTTAACCAAATATTTTCTTTATTTCTTGTTATTGAAATGGGAATGGATGAAGTACTATAGTACGTAGTGATAAAGACTGCTCGGAAGTACTACGGATAATATTAGAACTTTATTACGATCTATTAAATACATATAACATTAGTAAGTTTTTGAAATATCATTAGTCAACATACAAAGAAAATTCAAGATTTTAATTTATTGAATATACTTGTAACGAGTTTTGGGTCGTAAATATGATGTTGCTTTGCTAGATAAAGTCTCATGCAAGTAAAGAATATATAGTTCAGTAAAACAGGATAATATATTGGTCGTAAACGAGAAAGGTATCTAGTGAATTTAGAGTGAGAACAAGAAAGAATAAGCTCCTTCCATTTATTTTTGCTAATAGGAACTGTAGAAAAGCCTAACTTTTTAATAAAATACCATCATAGATGAGCAACATTGCCTGTGACGACTAGGCTTTATGTGCCAGATCTCTTGGTCTTTTATTTAACACCACTTATTGCACGCGCAAATCCCACGATGGTTAATTTTATAGCCTTAGCGGGTTCACAATATTACGTAAAAACTATTAAGTAAGTCTACCTTCCCATTTAAGAAGAAGAGACTAATTAATGACCTGAAATGTCTTACTTTTTACTGGGGACATAAAACTATTGAAATCCTGTACGAAGCGTTATCAATCTTGTATTAAACTCATAAGTATACTTTGTTTAAAAATTTTATTAAAATAACCGTTGACTTATCTCAAGGGCGCATCTCTTGAATGGAAATAATGACGTCATTTAAAGAATTCAGATTACATTATTCTAATTATTATTATGTACAATATTTATTTACAGGGACGAGTCTTCTCATCTATAATAAGGAATTTCCTGGCCACTTACGAAAATTTGCGCGACTTCGAAAAGGAGTATAAGACATCAACTGGACGAAAGGCATACGAGACTACACTCTGCAATATGAAGAAAAGATATCCTTATTACGTGAAGGAAATGCAAGGTATCGCGGATGGAGCCAACGTGTCATTCCACCAGGTATAAGGAATAATAATAAACGTATAATAATCGTCTTGGACGTTACTGGATCTTGAACTCAGCGAAAAGCTAGGAAATTATCTTTTGACTCCTGAACAAAACAAGGGAATCATGTAGTCCTGAGTTAGGTTGCCATCTGGGCCTCAATTCTGCTAATTTTAGTCTTAACTACTTGCATTTTGTCATTGTACTATCTACCTAATATTATATTAAGTCTAATGTTATATAATGTTATAAAGGAATGTTTTTCTCTTAAATCAATGTTGACAGATATATTTATCATTTTGTGATCGTGTAACTAGAACTGTGTCATAAATGGTTGTAGTTGGAGCGTTGTCTTTTCTTACGCTAACAGAAATTAGCAGAGTTGCCCCCCAGGCCGACTTTAGCCGGTTATGTTTGGCGTTTCTTCTCAATTCTTGTAATTTGTTTCATTTATTTATAACTACAAACGAAAAGAAATGAAAATTAATGTAAGTATAAATAAATAGAAAAATATTAAGGTAAATAAATAGAAAATTATTACACATTTTAACTGTTTTTACTTTTGTTTCCAGTTGTTCCTATTGCAAATGGATGACCTCATTGGGACCATAAACGACAACCACATCCCCAGAGACGATACTGGAGGTTGCAGTTCCATTGGCATCATGACTCAAGACAATGTTAGTGATTCTTTCTTTGATAATCAGTTATCCCTAACGCCTATCCCAATCTCAAAACCTTAGCAGAAGCGAATGATGCACATTAATAAAATCTTAAAACCTTAGCTTAAAAGCGAATTCTATTTGCTACTAGAGAAAGCATGTCATGCTCTCTTCAAAGCCTCTGCGGTGGTGTCGTTTGTGTTGGGTCGTTACGTTCCTTAAAATATGGTTGAAAATAGCAATAGCTGGCCCAAGCGTCATGCTCGTAAGCGGATGTGAATAATTGACGAATTTATTATTTTTATTTTTCAATATGGTGATGGATAATAACTACGTACGGTCTACGGAGTCAATTTTCAATTTGACAACACTGTATGAAATAAAGCAAGGAGAAAAAAGCAGCCCTTGCTGAGTTTCGTTCTGGTGCGTCTCGACACAAGATTTCCCGCTATGTTTTGATTTTCACAAGTGCTTGTAACAGCCCAATAAATGATTTTGATTTGATGTGAGTTAAAGTCATAGCAAAAGCGAATGCGCTAGTGTGTCAATCTCAATCTTAAGCTGAAGCGAATACTATAAGCAGTGATTTTGCTTAGACTGATCATAAGAAAGATAAGGCAGTAAAAGCCCAATTTAGGATTTCATCGAGAAACCGCGTCCTGCCTCCCCCACTGGCTATAATTTAAAACGTTAAACTCAAAAGCTCTACCAAAGGCTACAACTATAAGCAAGCAGCACTCTAATCTATCTCAACATAAAATATTGTCTAAATAATCAGGTTTTATTGTTTCAACTTTTACAGACCATCCTCGGACATACGGAAGATGCATTCAGCGAAACTCTCAACCATTTCTACATAATGTCAGCACACATCATACCGACACCAGAGGATAGAGAACAAGGGGTAAGTAAAGTACACTCTATTCCTGAGACAAGAAACAGACTAGATTTCTGCGGTGTCGTTTGTATTACGACAATATGGATCTTAATTTTTCGAAGTATCTCTGACAATATCATATACATTACTCAGATTTCAAGATGAGCAGCTCCCTCGTATTATGAAGTATCTGAGATGAGGAAGGTACCACAATACCCAGACCCAAGGCTAGATACCTACAAAAGTCATTTTTTAAATTGGTCCGATCAGCCTTTTATTTTGTAACTCTGGCAACTTCTGATGGCAACTTAAATAAATTGTTCACAGAACTCTACAAGAGGTTTTGGTTTTCTGTAACTCATTTTTAAAAAATCGGTAATTCCTAGCCCGTAACTTTTATTTATTTAGACGAAAGCACTAATTTACCAATACAATTTCAAGCGACTAAATGGAGTTCAGTGGAGATAGACGATATTCAAAACTGTGACCCTTTGACAAAAAATACTCCAAAGATGTGAGTTGCGTCAGCGAATACGGCTGCAGGAATCGAACCTCGAATCCACGGAGATGGTGATACCTTGAAACCGACGTACAAGCCACTCGGTAACGGAGGTTGAACTAGAATTTGCTTTTTGAATTATACTGCAGTCATTTGAATTTAATTAGCTCCGCCGATCGGAAGGTAAAGTCACATAATTATGGCGCCACCATAGTCACTCAAGTCAACACAAGAAGGTCGTCCCTAATCTTGTTTTCCTTCCTCTAATTCATAATTATTTACTGTTAAAATTTTATCATTCCTTTTTACTATACATAAATTTATGAATTTACATTATATACGATTTTGTTAGCTATCAAATATTATCCCACTAAAAACATTATCATGTATAATGTTGCTAAGACGAAACCATATGGCCCATATTATCAAAAAAAAATTGCTATTATACTTTGACTTATCTGGTGTAATTCAAACTCTATTTGAATAAAGATTTTTTTGAGTTTATAAGTGATGATGAGAGTCCAAAATCGGTTTTGACGGAAAAAAAATTGATATATTTATTTAAGTAATACTCATTTTCTGTATTAAATTTATTTTATTTTAAAAAATATCATGTTCTACTCCGGCTATAACCGGAACAATACACGGAGTAGAACATGATATTTTTTAAAACAAAATGAAATTAATACAGAAAATGAGTATTACTTAAATAAATATATCAAATTTTTATTTATAGAAAACTAGCTTTCAATTAACGGCTTCGCCCGCGTGGTCCCTGGTAAATTGGATAGTGGGTTAAAAAGTAGCTTATACCTATATCCATAAGCTTAGAATTATCCTTATCCGTATATCAGTAGTTTTTGCGTTAAGAAGTAACAGACTTACAAACTTTCGACTTTATAATGTTAAATAATATACGGCAGTCTGTAGAGAGATGGGAATCCTTAAAATATTGTGGAACATCTTAATACGTTTTTACCTATAATTCATTGATATTTCACACGAAATCGCATGAAACGCCTGCTGAGACTATTTACGCAGCTAAATTATGAGGGCCCGTTCTTACGATTACCGTCTGCACAAAAATGCGAGATTTGCCTGAAATTCATTGATTACCGTGACATTTACATGGAGTCGTTCAATATTTAATAGTTTTAATCGAATAGTCTCTGTCTCTATAATATCTAATTTTGTTTCTAAAATTATGTTCAGTAATTCATATATTTGTTTCAGGCTGTCGAAGAAAGATTTGCATCACTTTGTTATGCCGGCCACCTCCCTGGCTACACTATGGGGTACAATGCAAACGGATTAGTATTTTCGATCAACACTCTCAGTCCTTTAGTACTAAAACCTGGTAACACGCGTAAGTAGCAAAAACAAATGTCAATGTATAATTCTATAAAAAAATCCCTTTATCTAACCTTGCTTTTAGCATGAACTAAATTATTATTAGGATTTTGAGTGTATTCTACAGTGGCAAGTGTAAGTTTTATGTTATCACTTTCACTAGTGTGCGCGTTATGAATTTGTATGGAGATTTGTAATGTTTGGTAGTTATCGCTACAGGCGCTGTACCGGATTCCATACCAAAATTTTTACGCGCTCACGTTACCGGTGAACGTAAACGTCAAAAAACTTACACTTAGCGCTCTAGATTGTTTACTTACACTGGGTTAGTAGAAGGGTCCGTATCTGGCGCATAATAACTAATCTACGAATTTTAGGACGCCTATTCTTTCGTCTTTAGATTCTAGTGTGTACATTCGTGGATTTTTATTTATGTATGAATTATTTGATTACAGCACGTACTTTCGTAACTCGAGCGTTATTGGCTGCGAAGAGCTTTTACGACGCAGAAAGAATATTGTTGGACGAGGGGCTTGGCATCGGCAACGGTTTCTCAGTGAACATGATATGGACTGACTCCTGGGGGGCGAGACAACTCTACAACGTGGAAGTAGCACCAAACCTCAAGGCTGACAAGTCTTTAGTGAATATACACAAATATGACAAGGAACCGCTTGTCCATTGCAATAGGTATTGTGTATACCAATTAGGATATACCTACATACACATTACATGCATACTTAAAATAACTTTACAGAAGAAGGAAAAAAACAAAATTAAACATAACTATAATAAATTAGAAAATAATTTCATATACTGTACGATTAAAAATATTGTACCATAATAAATAATCTTTTCAGATACCAAAGAGCTAACGTGACGGAAGTAGTAGGTCCTATAATAGACAGTAGCGCCGCGAGATTGGAGGCCATTCACGCTCATCCCATACCAAAGAACAGGAAAGATATAGAAAACATACTCTCCGATCAGACCGGGAAAAGCTTCACAGTCTTTCAGGATAGAGATACGATCATCAAAACTATCGCCGCCGGTGAGGATCTTAATAAAATATTAGTATCTCAACCTGTAAATGTCCTGAAATGGATTGAACATGGAATTATTTATTGTCATTCCGGACATAGTTCCGTTAACGCGTCCGCGATCCGTAAACATGTCCGCGATACATTTAGTTCCTGAGCTATATAATGTTCACATGTCGTAATATGTCCTGTCCTACTTTTACTTCAAATGACATTGATTGTGATTTTAAGTCTTTCATTTTGACATGTCAGTAAATCTGAAAGTTTTAGCCATTCTCCTCCGAAACAGCTTCACCGATTTTGATGAAATTTTATATATACTATATTCAGTACGTCTGAGAATAGATTGTTATCTACTTTTAAAGCCTCTGATAAGGTTAGTCCACCCCAAATTTAATTGTACAAAAATAAGCGCACAGAAATATCATTATCAGCACTTTTAAGTCCCCACTGCCGGGGCCCATGTCTTCCTTATGGATGGTTAAGGAGGAGCTCCGCGCTTGCCCAATATGGCATTAACGACTACAAATGATACCGGGACCAATGGTTTAGCGTGCCTTCCGAAGGACGGAGCAGCTCGAGATAATTATCTTTTTATCTTTATCTTATTTTTGGGGCACCCATCCCGTGGCCGGTTATTCATCACGTCCCTGGACTAGTAAATGTAAAAAATAACGTTATTGAATTCTTATGTTTTGTGGAAATTTCAATCTTTCGTATCAACATTTCCGCGGAGCGCGGCGTCTCCGCGGAACTGTGAACATGTTTTTAAATAGACATCTAGGTTTGGTATATCATTCCATGTCCGGACATGGTTCCTGAAACTATTACGGTCCGGAACTACTTATGTCTAATCTCCACCTAAACCATCACCATCATTAGGCTGATATTGATGAAATCACCGCTGGGGCACATTCCTGCCCCACAGATGGACTTAAATATATAAAACAGGTTACAACCCACTACGAGTTTGCGGATGTCAACGACTATTTACGCTGAGTCCGAAACAATAATTTTCTCGTTAGCCATCTTAGGATTTGAGCTTAAATTCATCTCCCTGATTCAGGGTTTCGTTCTACAATATGCCAATTAGATATTTTATTTATTTTTTCTTCTAGGTGTATTCGACTTGGCCAAGCGTACTTGGAGTATCTACATCAACAAGCCAAATGTTTCAGAGCCTGTTGCCATATTACCTATAAGATTTTCTATGATAGACGATGCACAATAAACGGATATTCCATTTTTTAATAATAACATAATCGTCGGATTTATAAAATTCGATCATAGTAATGGTACTAATATCGAATGTTATAAATAGTTAAATTAGTTATTAAACATATAAGTATGAACTTAGCGTATATTTATGTACTTAGAAAAGGCTTTCACCTAGTTGTTAATTGCCGAAGCTCCTAAAAATCGTCGCATCTTTAATTATAAATAAAGAAAGTGGATTAAATATTTCCGCATATCCAAACCAACCGTTCATGTCTCCGATATTTTTTTACCAACCATTTTTCTGATCAACTTTTGTTCTTATCTCATTAGTACAGTTAGTTTCACGACAAAATCTTCGTAATGTCCACATTACTTAGCTATTGCATTTTACCTATAATAACATTAACGGACAGAAACTTATAATATTAACGAACAAAAACTTAGAAGTCTATGATAATTACACATCATTTTGAAACGTTTGTAGTGATAGCATTATCTTGTTTCATCCGTTATGGGTACGACACAACAAGAGTCCATCAAAATAACTGTTTCCGTAACTGTCATAAAATAGTCTCTATTAGAAGGACACTACTGACCACAATATTTTACATGAGAATTATACAAATATACGACGTATCATATTATAATAGGGATGATGACTAATTTTTGTTTTTTTGTCCGTCAGGTAGTGTTAAAAAATATTAAACACGTATTATTTTATTTTTTTCGTAATCATAAAATTACGGCGTTACATTGAGTTGAAATTTCGCATGACGTCACGTTAGGGTACGTTTTCTACTCAACTGTGACGCAGCGAGCCCCCACTCCTCAACTTTAATGCCTGTTATATAAGTTATTTCTTATTAAATTGAAGTAAAAAAAAAATACGTATTTAATATTTTTCTATTATCTGACTGACGGACTAAATAGAATTGCATTTTTTTTTACTCAGTCATCATCCCTATTGTTATAAGCTTTAAGTACTTAATTAGATTTTATTAGATCAAGTACTATTTTAACTTATATATTACAGTTAATTAACGATTACTTATATGTAACTGTATAAAAATTTAATATTACAGTTATATAAGTACAATCTAAATAATTAATTTTTAAGAGTAAAGTTTAAAAACGACATTGCGGCCATAAAACGAACTTGTAAAATCAAATTTCATATCACATAAGAAAAATATATCTCTTGTTATGACCAGAGGTCGGAATTAGGTAGAGTTATTTATGTACTTGCATCGAAATGTTGATATTAATGTGGATCTTGCTGGGATTTCTTTATTTCTTCTTTCTTTATTTCTTTCTTTCTTTCTTTCATTGATGTAAGTTAACAACGTCGTGCGTGCAGTAGTTTAAATTGTGTAAAAGTAAATAACTTTTTATTTAAAAAAATCACGGGATTTTTTCTGCTCTTTAAAATTAATCTCGGGATTTGAGGCATATCCACTTTATTCTTTCGCTGTATGAAATCAGTGTAAGTACATGAATAACTCTACCTAATTCCGACCACTGGTTATGACATACCGAAAGGAGTATTCAAATATACCTGTTATTGGTTTCTTGACAAATAAAACCATTGGTTACGACAATTAATTATGAAATAAGTATGTTGGGAATGAAAACTTAAACGTATTCAATAACTATATAGTTTTTATTTTATTTTTTCGTATGAGAGTTAAAATACATTTCCCAAAACATTCAAGGAGCCAATTTTCACTAGGACTAGGTCTATAGAATAATACTACTCTCCTGACAGCGGCGGTCGCAGTACAACGTTACCAACCTATCTATTTACAATATGTTTTATTACAAAGTTGACTGTGTATTGTGTAGTAAATAAAGTAAGTTTCTGAATTTATGATAATAAATATAATGTGAAATCTAGTTGCCTGCGTTTCATTTAAACTGTCTTACCATATCTGATTTAAGCTTAAGCCAGTGGATAGCAACGAACTCTATGGAAAAGCTGCACGTTGAATTTAGGAATTAAAATTTGACATTGTCAAAATAAACAAGTCGTGCCCGCCTTTAAAAAAAAAGAAATATCAACGTATATTCAGGTACTGAAATTTCCTTTCTACAAAAATGTTAAATTTATCTAATGCTAACTTAGAGAATTAAACCAACAAGAGTAACAACGGGCAAGCTATCCTAAGAATGCTTAATATATATTATTTTGCAAAATCGTCTTGGCATTAGTGTTAGTCCAAAAAAGGAAACTGCAGTCAGACATTGTGTACCATTTTATTAAAATCTAAAAATTTACAATAACATTAATATTATTAGTTTTTATTAGATATTACAGGAAACCAAATCTAACACAGAAAATAAACATTAACTTTAATATTACAATGCTATCAATCGAATACGATTAATTCGAAGTTCATTTATACAATTTTAATGTACAAATATAAATGTTAATTATTTAGTGAATGCCCAAAATGTGACTCACTGTTACAGATCTTTTGATTTAAAATAACAATGAAATTCCAACTGTTGCCATTTACATTTTCTATGGTATTTATATATTGCCATTGGTAGCTATAAGTCAAAATGTCTCATTTTAACTTAATTGTTAGTTACTAAAGTTTGAGTAACTTTTATTTATTAAACAAATTTGAAATTTTCCAACAAAAGTGGAGAAGACACTTAAAACAGTGAAATGGCCAGCTGAATCATAAAATGAATGAGTGACCATACTCAACATGTTAAAATATTTTTTGTGGACTAGATCAAAATAACCTTACAGTTATATGTTTTTTTTTATCTTTGATTATGAATCGTAAAAAGCGATCCGATTGTTAATATGGTAATTGGCAGGACCAACTGGCCCTTCAGTGTAGTACCATTGAAAAGGCAGAGCCCCCATCTTAAATTAATTATTAATTGAATGTATTGAGGCTACACTTTCCAATCTCACCACTGACATTATAAATTGGTAATTAGTGCTGTTACATGATATTTTACAATATTATTTTATTGAGAGACACCATAATGAGTTGTTATAATCAGTTGCCTTCCTTTACTAGTCTGTGGCATGGCAGGCATAAAAAAGAACAATGATTCAGATAATTATGTCAACATTTGGATAGTGAAATAAGTATCAATTTTCTTTCAATACTCACATAATACCTTGTACCATTATCAGTTTTTATGGCCAAATTAAAAATTAATCCCCGATCTAGTCAATAAGGGCATTAATTTGAGATATCTGATTTGATGTGAAAATATTATCTAGAAATTTAGTAAAACATTTAGGTCAATATGAAATATGATCTTAACTCAATAAAATCTTAAGATAGGTAGTAATTATATAACTTTTTCAATTCTTTCTGGTGATATATTAAAAGGCAATAATTAATACCATTATCTATAAATGTACTTATTTAATAAAAGTTTGGTGTAGATGTGAGGGTCCTTCGCTTATTGTGTTCTTGGGTTTAGACATACCATATTATATTTAACCACATCCACAGCCTCCCATTGGTGGCGGTGGTGGTCCAGAATTAGATGGCCCAAAGCCACCAAACTTTTTAGATGGTGGTTTTGGTGGCCTGAAAAAATAATAATTATATGTATATTAGAACAACCAAACAGGTTATACAAAACTAATGAATTCCCCTAAACTTGATTTTAAACCGAACACATTGATTGATGTTAAAGTATAAATTGCTTGCAAGAATTTAATTAAATTGAGGTAACCTGGCTTACTATAGTATCTACAATTATTTTATAGGTAGTATTGACACCAAAGACTTTCATGAATACTATTAGACAAACTGTAAAGTACTGAAATGGTTACTTGATAAGGTGTTGAACCTTCCCAACAGATCACTTAATTGAATACTAGTAAGCTATCTAGTAATTAATGTGGCACATAAGTTGTAATCAACAAATAATACATACATAAAATAAATTCTTAATGCGATGGATACAAATTAGACACTAGAGTATAATTTTGTTTCCCTAATTTATCATATTATTATTCTGTACATCACAGAAATGTCCCGATAAGGCAGCCTGTTGTACTATATTTTTGTATGATTCATGTTAATGTATCTACTGTTCTATTGTGCAATAACTAGTACTTTATAATTTTTGAGTAATTTTATTTTTTCTTAAACTCTGGCAAAATATGTTTTTGAAAACATAACACAACCAGCAGACAATAATTATTTTTTAATTGCTTATGATAAATATTGGTATTATTGCTATAGACTATAAATAGATAAGTATTCAAAAAATTATGTAAAAATGAAAAAGCATATTTGTAGCTTTAGATATAGTTTTTAGTTACTAAGAAAGACTTCATTTCATTTGATTGTGCTAAGACTAAAAAAAATACAAAAATAATTCAAATGTTCTCTTTTAAGTACTAAATAACATATACTTTCAGCACTCACCCGCTTCCTGGAGGTCTATAATCTGTTACATACTTATCACCACGTTTTGAATAGTTAGGGTTTATTAAAGTTTGGAATCTAAAATAGAAAAAAATAATTACTGTATTATAGAAATACAAAGAACATGAAGAAAAAAATTTAAAGAAATCAAATTATTAATAAGGAGTAGAACAACTAAAACAATAAGAGAGTGCTCCAATATAACATGAACATAATATTTACTTACAACAGGTATATGAAATTCATAGCACCCCAGAACCACCCAAACAGACTGAATGGCGACGATTTAACCACATTGCCATCTGAAACAAAAACAATACTACATCTTCGCCTTGTTAAATTAGATGCAAATCAGACTTAATATCGAAACTGTATATTTATGTTGAACTAAACTCCAACGATAATGAATATTGATAAAATGTTAGTACCTAGTAAGGGCTAAAAAACATCTTTTCTAAGATTTCATGTTATTGTTAAACACACTGACGTGGCTTTTGCCATCTGATTTATTTTATAGAGGATTTTATTAAATCGACGAAATACAAGAAATTAAGATTACAAAAACTTACCTCCTGTAACATAAACCATTTTTATGACTTAGTTAGCTCTTCACAGAAATTAACAAATACACTCCCAAGTTTAAATATTTCCAAAACTGACGGAAAGAAGAGCAATCTAGCGAAACTTCCAATCCTAATATTTATATATGATATCACAGACTTAGTAGGTGTAGGTATATATGATATTTACACCTCAAATAATGGCGGATACTATAGAGTAAAATTTTTTTTTCTTATTACTGGCGTTGCCCATTTGGATTTCGCAGGACCCAGTGTGTTTCTTAGTTTGTCTATGTTTCTTGTACACAATAAAGAAGAGACTCAATAACTTCGATCAACAATACAAAAAGATGTTCGGTCATAGTCTCAAAGATGGCTGAAGACATAACGACTCACTTGAAAGTGGGATCTTATTTTGATTTAGTTTGTTTACGACAGCGCCAATGTTCGGACATGTTGACACAGTCGGACACAGTTGCTATATTAATTATTTAAGTATAAACAGTCTTAGAGCATTCTTTAACATGTAACATTCTAAGAATGCTCGCTCGCTTAACGGCAGTAGAGCGTGGGAAGAACTCTTGCTCGTTAATATTGCTACGACTTAGGATCTCGAATAAAACAATTCGACTATATTTAACACAATAAAATTACAAAAATAATTCAAATACAAATTCACACTTCAACTTCATTATTTCACGTCCGATTACTTTTGCTTTCTGCCCTGCGATTCTGTAAAAATCGAGACCCGAATTCGAATTCACTCATGTGTCCGAATTCTCGTTATTTAGTAAAGAAATCCTATTGATTCCATTTTTTGTATAAAAATACTAAACAAAATTGATTGATTATACGTGTCTTAGATATTTTAATCCTATATCATTTTGAAACTTACTGCACTTATGCCACAAAACATTATTACCAATTCAAGTTTGAGCGGATGCCGCTTTTTAAAGTGAATTCGGACACCTGAGTGGATTCGAATTCGGGTTTGAAGTTTTCCAGAATCGCAGGGCAGATCACTTGTTCACTCAAGAATGCCGGGACGTTCATTTATAGGGGCCGAAACCACATCTAGAATATTCTAGGTCCTAACTTAGAACATTTTAGGCGTTTCCTCGACCAGGCCGGTGTATTCAAGGCATTACCTTTTGGTAATGCCTTGCGTTATCTTTTTTAGATAACGCATTTTTTTTTTTTGTTCTCTTTGAATACTATTTTAATACCAAATTCCTCAATGTTTTTAAAACAAAATACCTACATTTGTTGAGCAGTTCGGTGGCGTAGTGTGACACTCGGTTTCTGAATTGAGAATTTAAAGTTAAAAATGTCTCAAACAAACGTCACTTAGTTTTCGTTCCGATTTTCGGATAGCAGTTTGATAAAACTAGAACTTTTTGACTTCTGAAACGCAAAAAACTTAAGTTATTGAGAATCAGTAGAAATTTTCTACTTTTCTTAAATCAGAAAGCTGCTAGTGTTAGTCTGTTCACTGATTTAAGGGTTTTAACAGGTTTGTTTAGTTTAATTATCTGGTAGAATAGCTTAATTAGAGAAAAAATCTAAAAATATACTATTCAGAAAGAAAAGTCAATAAACAGTCGGAAAATGTTACTTTCAGTCCATAAATATAAGATTTTTTTTTTTAAATGAAATTTAAAAATTCTCAAAATTTTAGCCTGTGCTTTTACTACGAGAAAACCGGTACATACAGTAGTGACGTCATTCGGTCTTGTAAACATTGACTAAGGTTATAAGGTAATAAACATATAAGGAATAAACGTCAATTTTAAATGTCCAATTGAAGCGTCTGTCTTTTCTGGAGAAGTGGTGGCTTTCTTAGAAGCCGTATCCTATGTACTTTCACATAAGTTGAATAAAACAATCATCTTACCGACTCATAAAGTAGTTTATAAGCTCTTTTAAGTAATTTATTTAAAAGCAAAGCACCGTCTCCGATAATTTTGAAAATTAAAAATCTGCTTTTTGAATGCCATTCCCTGAATATTTGAGCTTGGTATTTGATTTGTCCATGACAACCCTTCCGGTTTTATTTCATGAATAAAAGTAAATTAATGTTCAAAACAACTCATATTCTTTTTGTTCTTTTTCATATTTGTATTGATATCTAAGTTTCAAACTTTGCAAATTTCGTTTTTTTTATATGTTAGTTAAAAGGAACGGAAATTAGTACCTTTGGTCGATTCGTTTTCTGAAAAATCAACTTTTGCTAGAGTGGCCATATAGTGGAAGTGCTTTTTTAGTGCTTTCTAAATACTTCTAAATCAATCCAATACATTTTTTTATACATCGTATAATAGACAAATAGTACTCTTCAGAAATCTCGGTAGTGTCACTAGAACTGTTCCACGGGGTATTCTATCAATCTACAACTGGGGTAGGTAAAGAGGACCGAACATACAGCTTTCGCCTCATAAATAATTATCAATAAAATAATAAATAATAACTTTATACGTGTTTTATTTATAAACATTTATTTAGATACATCATATAAACTAACTGGGTGTATTTGGTACTGCATTTGAATTTAATACTCTGTTCATATCCTTACTTTATTCCCTGAACTATTATTTTTAATAGATTTTATTTTTCAGTAGCTAACTATAGAAATACCTGAAACGATAGCAAATTGACATGCAAGGAAATTATACTTCGAAGTTTTAGCAGCAATATTTTAATTTATTTATATAATTTTTGCAGGAAACGAATGGACCAAAGACAATAATTTCCGTTTCTTTAAACTAACATACCGGGAGCCACAAAATGCCCGACACAGCCGAAGTCAAGTTACATGCAAACATCATTTTATTTGACAAATATTTAAAAAAAAAGGTGTAAAAATGGAGTATTCTTTTTAAATTTCTATGTGTTGAGAGCCCTGTAACGCGCATGCGCAATATCGATTGTGCGCAGATAACAATGGACCGCGAAATACATTAATTTAATTTAATTTAATTATTTACCGCTATCTTGATGATAGTCGATGCTAAAAATGTCCATTTCCTCTCTGAAGACTGAGCTAAGCACGCTCTTTTGTATGCCGGTGCATGCATGCGCAAAACACATCACAATTCAAACAAAACTAAACACAATCTTTACTAATCTACACTTAACACTCAAGACGAACACTGTAGTATCTTATTAACAAAAATTCAATTAAAAATGCACTAGAACAAAACAAAAATCGACAAAAAAGGCGCTTTGTAGTGGTGCGTCGGCGGCGATGCGCAACAACACTCCAGCGCAAACGGTCTGCTTTTTTAAAATAACTTATACTTCATTCATTATAACATTGTAAAAAAGTGGGTCATAGAAGCAGCAGTGCAGAATATTTTATTTAAATTTATCTTGAATAAATTTAAAAAATATATTTTAGTTATGTTGAAACTTTGAACGTTAGGTAGTCTGAAAGAGCTGGGCAATTTTCCATTTTTTCTGATAGGTCGGGGTTGAGATGAGGCCAGCATTTTATAGATTCATCTTTTAGTCCCAAGCCAATATAGAACTAAAACTGAAACTATCTGTCTGTTGTTTTATAAATTCTAATTGTAAGTGTAATTAGTTAGACTATTGATGAAGACATTGGAAAAACTCCCTGAAATGTCAAAGGTTGAGGCAGTGGCTTAGCTACCAAGGGGCTAGGCGGGGCAGTGCCCCGGGGCCCTCAAGCTCAGGGGTCCCTCGAATCTTTACCAGAAAATCGCAATCGAACTCAACTTTTGAAAATTTCTCCCATTTTCGAAATAAATATGACAGGTGACAACTCAAGTTTAATCATGGCAACTCAATTGAGAGAAATTCGAAAGTTATAAAAAGGGAATACCCCTAAAGTATTTGTGTGGGTTGACAGTGTTATTAATGATTTCATCAATTTGTCGGATATCAATGTCTACATATTATTATTTATCGATATGCGTTTTTGTGATCCGCGATTGTGAACTTCGAGTCAAGATTTTTTTTTCGAGAATGGTTAAAAAGTTAATGTATCAGAAGTAAGTAAGCGTATGTCAATAATTTTTTTGTACTGGTCCATACAAAAAATCAATTTGATTTGAAGTACGTATACATAGTTACGTAAAGAAATCAATAGATTTCGGCTACTCACTATATAACTCAAAATACCGAGAAAAATACAAGTAACATGCGGTAGGGGGGCCGTCCGTTAATTACATTGTTTTTTTGTCATTTTGGTAACACTGGCGGTGATAAAATGTTTGCCGGGGATTCCCCAACGACATCTTGTATCGTGTCATTACTTTTCCCTTTCCTTTTACTTGTAAAATAAATTAGACAACTAATATTATTTTGTATATTTAATGATTTTACTTCAAAAAGCCTTACCAGTTTTGATCGCAGGGCCCTAGGTTACCTAGCTACGCCACTGGGTTGAGAGTAGGTATGGAGGCTTAGAGCGCGGCAGTAGCATTCACATTAGATGACAATCCCAGATTACGATTTTTAACAATAGGGATGATGACTGGATAAAAAACATGCAATTCTATTTAGTCCGTCAGTCAGATAATAGAAAAATATTAGATGCGTATTTTTTTTTACTTCAATTTAACAAGAAATAGTTTAGATAACAAGCATTAAAGTTGAGGAGTGGGGGCTCGCTACATCACAGTTGAGTAGAAAACGTACTCTAACGTGACGTCATGCGAAATTTCAACTCAATGTAACGCCGTAATTTTATGATTACGAAAAAAATAAAAAAATACTTCTTTAATATTTTTTAACACTCTACCTGAGGGACAAACAAACAAAAATTAGTCATCATCCCTATTATGAATAAATAATAGTCGGACAAAATTAAAATAGCAGTTTGATAAAACTAGGACTATTAGTCTTGTGAAATTAATTATTAAGAATTTGCAGTAGAGATTATCTACTTTTTTCTTATCAGAAACCGGCTGTTAGTCTGTAAATCGATTTAAGCATTTTGACTGTCTTGTTTATTGATTATCTAGTATATTTGCATGGAATCGGTCTTATAAATCACAAACTAGTTTGTTTCGGTTTTAGAAATGAAGAAGTCAATGACCGATTAAAAACTTTTCCTTAGTACGTTCCAAAAACAGCTGACTCAGGGTTGAAACACTCATTTTTTCCAAAAACTTTGAAATTTAGTATCTCTAAAACTATTTGACCTAAGCATTTATTTTTTTTACATCATATTAAAGA